ATAAATGTCGGCTCATTTTTTGGTAAATGTGAAAAATTTCTTTATAGGCTAAGGGCGACACACGAGCACACAGTCCACTTGATAGTAGGTGGATGCTATGGTCCATTGACATCTACATTTGTCCTCGATTAAAAATCAAAATGCAGATGCGTTGTCACCCCTGAGGACTAAGATCGAATGCCTCGTTTCCAATAAGAAAGGTCTCCGGTTTTCTACACTCACCATAACAAACACGATGCAGCATTAAGCTGTTATTTTATGCTGTTATTCAAATTCAGAAACAAATTCCCCGTAATATTACTGATTCGCCTTTACATACATTCTAAGTGCATGTAAAAGCATTCTTATGAAGAAAGGATACGACCAATTAGACGACTATTTAAAAGATAAGAAAGCGCGGACATAATGAGCTCCCATAGACTTTTTTAAATTATGTACATATTTTATAAGTTTAAATTATAACTGTTGAAAAGGAATCATTTAATGTTTTTTTTTTATAGGATAAGGGTGACAAACGAGCACACAGTCCACGTGATGGTAAGTGGTTGCTGCGGCCCATACGAGGTACAAGTACGAGTCGGATTCGTGCACGAAGGGTTCCGTATCATCGTAAAACACGGTTCTAGTAGGGATATACAGCCCGCTGACAGACAGATGGACGGACGTACGGACAGACAGTGGAGACTTAGTAATAGGGTCCCGTTGGTTACCCTTTGGGTACGGAACCCAAAAAAAAACAAGTATTGCAATCGTCTAACAAAAACTATAAAAAGGGGTAAAATTAAAAATTTTGTAGAACCGAATTTACACAAAAAAAATATAGTCGAAATGAGTACCTGCTCCTTTTTTTGAAGTCGGTTAAATGTATCAGAAGGCTCGCAAAACATACGCATTTTTGTCGCATTTAATGCTCAATGTGCAATATTCATGAACTAACTTTCAGAGGAAATTGAAACGGTTTTTTTTTTATTTTCGAAACCAGTAAAATCATAAACGAGTTAATTCCTAAATAAGTACCTTTTTAATAAAAACGAAAAGATAATTTAAAAAAAATTGTGAAAATTAAAAATGAAATGTATACTCTAATCTTAGCGCAGGTGTGTGCTTACAACTGCGTGGGTTAGTAGCCAAAGGTATGTAGTCAAAGCTCAAAGATATGACGGGTACAGTGTTCGAATCTCAGCCAGAATTAACTGAACTAAGACCATTCTAAAAATTAAACATACGAATTCACATTGAATATAAACATATATTAATTTGTTTGATTAAGAATCAAAATGCAGATGTGTTGTCATCCCTAAGTCAAACTTACTGGGGCAAAAGTACGTAAAACTCGAATCCAGTACCTAACTTTTTTCAGGAGTTTAATTACTGAGCCATGAGATAGAATGTATTAAATGTAGATAATATAATACCTACACTCTTAATCTTAAGTCCCGCCATTTTTTTGTGGTTTACATAATTCTTTATGTAACAGAATTCCAACATAAACGTTCTTTGAAAACCCATCCTTATTCTTTCTAGCTCGTGATAACTTTATATGCCTTATATACCTTCTCCTTTCTCACGAAAGTATTCATTAACTCAAACATTCATTGTCTGTATTTTAAACAATGAAATCATAAAATAATTTAGCATTTATTAGTTTAACTGCAAAACTTTATGAAACAAATGGAAATCAAGATCGGGCGATGAGGTAATAAAAAAGAGAACACTCTTTTTTACTTTATAATTACAATGTATAATGTATATAATTGTAAAAGCATTTGAATGAATCAATATAGACTGCACAATAAATATCTAGAATGGCGAAAATGTAAAAGCTAACGTTGATATGTGGGTCATGCTAAATCTGGTGCAAAGGGGATATCACTGATTTATGCATCCGCGACTAGCGTGGTACGCGCACTCGAACTAGTTTCTTGTAAGTTTACAAACTCACTTTTTATTTCACACGTATATAAACCTTAAAATACATAACTTTAAATAAATAAGGAAACTCAATTAGAGTGAATTCAATTAGATGGATACGTAGTTGTTTTAGGATTTTTGTCGGTGTCTGCTTTTTGAGACCGATGTAATGTGGTTGTGAAATTTTTACTCATTTAGGGCTATAGGTACAACATTGCAAAATTCCCAGCAACAAATTAATGATAGAAGCTATTCGAATATTATTTAAGTTACATCTGAATACACATAGAGAAGAAACTAATGATGTATTAAATTTAAGTAATTTTACGGATTTTATCGCGTTTAATTTAACTTTTAATTCCCGACGTTTCGGGTGCTTTATAGCACTGGTATAGGATAGGGACTGAGGTGTTTGAGTCCAGATGTCATAGTTAGTCCGGCTAGCGTCAGCTTTTAAATTTTAATTTTTGGTCCCATCTACGCAGAACGAGATTATGTATATGCTGATTCTGTATAAGGTAGGGTTCCAGAGGTTTTTTTTTTATTTTCGTTTAATTTATTAATTTTAATTTTTTTGTTATTATTTGAGTTGGGGTCGCCATTACCTAGATTGACAATGCCGGACAAAAAGTTCGATAACCCCGAACACTTGTTTAAAATCAAAAATTTTGCATGGACTCCCATTTTTTTTCATTACAAGCTCCGAATCCACTACTCCAAATCGCCGTGTCGTGAAAGGCGAAAACAGGAAGCTGACACAGATTTGGCAGAAGCATCACCCTAGCAACTCAAATTAATAAAAATATGCCGCTGCCAAAACACCTACCATGCCTGATCAGGGTGGAGGGGGTGGGTTCTATGTGACCAACAGCGCCTGACCCTTAGCTAGACGATTTTGACCTGGCTCCCATAATTTGTATTTTAATAATAAAATATTAAGAATTTGTGGTAATGGCGTAAGACAATCCATCACCCTATTTAGTCTCATGGGTATTTATCTCTAGGCAACTGTGGGTTATATACAAGAAGGATGTTATGGTTCTTATAGCTGGCGGTATAACTAACGCCTTTCGTAAATACCCAGACCGGTGATTGCCTGGTCCTGGTCCTGATGGAATACTCCTGTCAGGCGTGATGATTAAGACAAAGCTTCTCTACCACTGTAAAGACCCATGTTCAGCTGTGAACGTTTACGGGTTAAATAATAATAAGATGATGATGATGAATATTTATTTCCTTAACTAGGGACCCGCCCCGCTCGCGATAGAATCTATCAATGTGGGGTTATTTAGGTTAAACATAATAATTAAAAACCATTTTATTTTATCAATTTGCCGTTTTTTTATTTCAAAAAAAAATCTTCAAACATTTTCGGATCAAATACAGCTAAGATGCCTCCTGGTTATCTGTTCTATCTGTTCGTAAAATTTCATCACAATCGGTTCACACATTTCGGAGCTTAGAACGGACAGACAGACAAAAATTTAAAAAAATTGTTTATGTCGTTATGGCATGCAAATCACTCCCTGAGCTTTTGACACTTCAGTTTTATTTATATGTACTTATTGACAAAATACGAACATTTAAATTCTAGTGTAGCTACAAAACTATAGCCTTCTATGACTGTTATTCATGATTAAAGTTTTATTTTACGACCTTCAACTAAACGCTTCTGTTAAGATACTAAATTACATTAATCATTACGCTATTGTTAAGTCGCTATTGACGGGTTTGTAAACAATAAGAAAGTAGAAGGCAATATCGACAAGAGAGTGGACACATTTGAAATTGGAACAGCAAAGACATGAACACATTGTATTTTATTCTTATTATAAGTTTCAATCTCAAATCAACAAAGATAGATTGAGCTCTGCAAATATTTCAGATGATGCTGAAACAATGCTCAACTTTATTGTTACATACTCACGCACACATTCTCCTTTCTTTCTTTATCAGGCTGTAAATGTTCTCAGCTTGACGCACACATATGCACCTAAAAGACATGCTATTGGTTTTGCAAATGATTTGGAGATGCATATGTGTACGTACGTGAGTGCGTGTTTTTACCCGTTCCGTCTTTCATTCTGTTGGTCTGAGGTTTCAATATGTATTATCGAGTCTATATATTGATGATTCACTTATATAGTTGTACTAGCTGTTACTCGAGACTTCGCCTGCGTGTTATTTGGGGTTTTTATTTTTTGCGCGTAACCCTAATTCTTTTTCTAAAAATATAAAAGTAACCTAAGTTACTCCTTGTGACATCGGCTATTCGGTCATTCCAGTGAAAGTCCCGTCAAAATCGGTCCAGCCGTTTCGGAGCTTAGTCGGAACAAACAGACAGACAGACAAAAACTTTAAAAATTGTATTTTTGTTATAAGTACCGAATATACTTTCATATACATTTAGTAAAAAGCTGTGTAATTTTGACATTACAAACAGACACTTCAATTTTATTTATTTGTATAGATGTATAGATATAAGAATGATAAAAATGCAATAATTGCGTCAGATGTATTACATTACATGGTATTATCATGAGTAATTTTGTTACAATAGATGTTATTTATAACAGCTGTTATTGCTTTAACTAACGATAGTATATAAATATTACTCTATATAACATACATCTCGTTTGTCGTTTAGTGGCGGTATAAGACAATTCCCTATCCCATATTATACCGTGGGTGTCGTAAGAAGCAACAGAGTGAAGAGAAACATGAGATGGACAGAAGAATGATCCTTATTGAAAAAAAAAGTGTGGCAAGCGTGACAAATATCCCCTCTATGAAGTTGTCTATAGCGGAGGCCTATGTTCAGCAGTGGACTTTCATGGCCTGTGATGATAATGATGACATAAGTCTACAATTTATAATTAATCTGATATCACAAACGTAGCGTGAGTATGCCTGAGTAATGGCTAAGTGCATAATTAACGAGCCAATCACGACGACTATTAATGTCAATATAATGGTCTGATAGTCAGTTATGTTATATTATTGTAGAGCTTGACAAGAGGGGATAACTAAGCATGGAGAAGTTTACCAATAGTAGCTTGTTAAATATAGAAAAAGTATGAATTACTTACGGATTTTCCAGCATCCTCAGGCAAACTTTAGCCATGGTGCTGAGGGTCTCAGTTGTGTTTTCTAAGTCTTGTTGGTTGTCGTTGACGAACTGGCTCGTAGCCTCTGATAGAACTTTTAGCATTGGGGTTGCTTGTGCGTAGAACAGAGACATCCTGTTTGCTACTTCGGCGCCCAAATGCGGTTCTGCGTCCGGAGGCAGCTCGGAGTTTATAAGGCCACCGCGGGACACGCTACGTCTGTAGTAGCTGAAGTCGTTTTGAATGGCCGGTGTTTTCATCTGCGTTGTGAAAATAAAATCGTTTCAAGTTCAATTCAATTTTAGTCAAAATAACTTATGAAGCCGTGGTAGCTCACGGGCTAAGCGCTCACCGTAAATAAACTCTGGTTAGAACCCCACTGGCACCAATGAAATTGTTAATTACAATTTTAAGTCCTGATTTACCACGTGATTTACGGTGAAGGAAAACATCGTGAGGAAACCGGCATGTTGAAGAAATTAAAAAAATGTTTTAGAAGATATGTGAAGTCCACTAACACGCATTGGGGCAGCTCGGCAGACTTTTCTAAGCCCTAAAACCTTCTTAGAAATAAGAGGAGGCCTGTGCCCAGGAGTGGGACGGAGTAGGCTGTAACTTTAACTTTAAATTATGAGTATTGTTGTTGGAATCGTAACAAAAAAAGACTTTTGTACAATAGTATAAACAAACAAAACAATAAAGGGGCTGAGTCACCCCTCGACGAGGTCAAGCCAAGCCTCACTTTCTATTACAATACTCGACAAATTGTTAATCGATTCGCAGCCTTATTAGTACGTCCGATATACGATGACTAGGTCTCTGATAGCTTTGTAATCACTTAATGTATGTTGTGCTTGCAAATAAATCGACGTCAATTGAAAGGGTAATATAAATTATTAACTTCCGTTTATCATATACGAGCTAAATTAAATAACTTCATTACTTCAGTGACATAACTCCGGAAGTAAATATTATAGTTTAACTTCGTAATTCCGACCATGATTTATGAAATGTTTATGTAAAATACGGTAAATAGAATAGTTGCGGAATTTCCATGAAACTTCTTATATTTTACATAGGCTGCACTAAAAGTATCGGGAATGGAATATTTCCACTGTTCCTGTCATATTAAAATCTTTTTAATTGAAATGTCCTTGGTTTTAAAAATCAAATACCATTTATTTATTTAAAGAAAGATTCTCGGTCTTGTCACAAGGTTTTGTCAAACTTGTTTAGTCGTTGAGAAAATGGAATTGACTCGAGAAAATTCAAGAGCGATGATTTATTATGACTTTCGAAGTGGTTTAACACAAAAACAGTGTGTTGACCGGATGATTTCTGCATTTGGTGATGAAGCCCCATCCGAACCCACAATTTATCGCTGGTTTGCTAAATTTCAACGTGGACGTGTCAAGCTCAGTGATGATCCCCGTCAAGGTCGTCCAAAAACTGCACTCACCCAAGAAAACGTTGATGCTGTGCGTAAGCTGATTGAGGAAGATCGACATGTGACATACCGCGAAACTCAGGCAACTTTAGACGTTGGCATGAGTCAAATACAAATTATCTTGCATGAACAATTAGGTGAAAAAAAGTTGTTTTCCCGATGGATACCGCATTCGCTCTGTGAAGAGCAAAAAGCGGCTCGCGTTACTTGGTGCGTCAGAACTCTCGAAAGATTCCACGCAGGATCCTCAAATGCTGTATACAACATCGTATCAGGTGACGAATCCTGGATATACGCGTACGAACCCGAAACAAAAAACCAGTCACGAGTTTGGGTGTTCGAAAATGAGTTAAAGCCAACAAAAATTGTTCGTTCACGGAGTGTTGCAAAAAAAATGGTGGCCACGTTTGTCTCCAAAACCGGCCATGTTACAACTATTCCTCTTGAGGGACAAAGAACGGTTAATGCAGAATGGTATGCTAGCATTTGTTTGCTACAGGTCGTTTCTGAACTCCGTAAAGAAAACTGCAACCGCCGCACCATCCTCCATCACGACAATGCGAGTTTTCACACCGCACACAGAACAAAAGAGTTTTTAGAGCAAGAAAACATAGAATTATTAGACCATCCGCCGTACAGCCCCGACCTAAGCCCTAATGATTTCTATACTTTCCCTAAAATAAAGAATAAATTGCGTGGACAGAGATTTTCATCACCTGAAGAATCTGTGGACGCCTACAAAACGGCCATTTTGGAGACCCCGACTTCCTAATGGAATGGTTGCTTCAATGATTGGTTCCATCGTATGGAAAAATGTGTCAAATTTCGTGGAGAATACTTCGAAAAGCAATAAATAAATTTTTAAATAGTAATGTTGTGTCACTTCCTTGATTTCCGAAATTTTCAGTGCCGCCCTCGTATCAGCTTGTAAAATGTCCACTGTGACAAGAGGACTTCCACAAGTTAAGGAGTATTATTTGTCATAATACCCCATCGATCACTAATAAAAAACTAGATACACAATCCCATGCAAAAGTTCTCTAAAAACTGTCGCCAATTGTTTTGATTCTAGTTAAAATAAATATATATTAATGTAAATTTAACCTTAATTTCACCGATTGTGTGTATCTAGTTTTTTATTAGTGATTGATGTAATACCCGACATTTTTTGGAAGATGTTAAAGTAAGTACTATCTGTAAGTTAGCATAATACATACATAACTACACATATTATGTTCCTAAAGGAAACCGTGTAATGGTATGTTAAGAATTTCCACTACAACAAACAACACACACAAGAGGGATATTAAAACAGAAGATGGGCAAAAACACCTTTCTAAATAACAAATATTAATTAATAATATAAAAACCTGCGATTGCCAGATTGCCTGCCAAGCTTGGCGACTATGGCAAAATCCTTCCTCTGAGGCAATCTATGGGATAGGCCTATGTTCAGCAGTGGACTTTTATAGACTGTGATTGATGAATGGATAAATAGATGTGCTCATAAGTAAACTTTTTGAAATCAATAAAATTTATTCATATACTGTTAAGTTCTTCTTTATGTATAGCATCTAAGAAGCGTGCGTGAATACAATCACCATTTTCTTGCGAAGTAGGGCGATAATTGCAAATTTTTCTAAAATTTGGGTTAGACGTGTATCCGCCGGATGTTTGCAAGATAATGATGATGATACTAAGTCCGTTACAATCCAAAAAATAGCGTATTATTTATCGTTTATTTTTGCATTTACAGCACAGAACTATTAACTTAATAAAGTTTAAATTAAAATAAAATTGTATAGATAAAACGATATTGTGAAACGTTGCAGTTTAGCACTATCTATAACTATTTATTACCCAGCGTACGTATTATTTTAAGAACACAATTCAAATTGTATAATTTATCCATTATATCATTTATCCTGTTATCCATGGAATAAATTATAACCTGACTGAATATAGAAGTGAAACGGCTGAACAGTAATTTTCATTTAACTGTGCTTTTCAATTTGTTTACATTGTAGTTTATCCTAATAACACATTTTAACTGTGCATTAAAAAATCGGCCCTTAAACATTAGATTGTTGTCACATTGTGAGACTTCATCTTCATTTAATAAGGATCTATAAAGATTGACTCAAGTAATGTCTTCACTTCAAATTTTTGTTTACAATAAAATACAAAGGTTTTGCTAACTATTAGTTATAACCGTCCGATTGTATTCTGTTCTGTTTTGTTGGTGTTTATAAAAGACGATTTATTTACATAAGGTGCTCTCTATTTTACACACTCACCTTGTGTTCGTCGAATTTTAGAACGAACTCCAATATTTCGGCGAATTGTTTCACCAAGGCTTGCTGTTGCTCCAGATGTTGAGTAGGACTCATGGCGCCTCCCACTAGTGATCGCAACAGTCGAGGCACTACCTGCAATAGAAAAATAAATTTAATATTCCAATGAAATCTAGTATCATTCATAATAATAAAAAAAGATCACGTAAACAGTGCCGACTTGACGGATTTCCCGTCAAATCTAACGGATTGAGACGAGGGTGAAACGGGATAAAATATATGCTAACGCCTGACTGATATTTTTTATTTTGAACAAATCTGCCATAAATTTCGAATGAAATTTCTTATACGAGGCATGTTCAGTAGAGGACTGATTGATGATGATGATAGTCGCTGTAATACTTAATACATTCCTTTCGCTATTTTTTACTAGCATAATAAAAAAATACTTCTTCTAATGTATAACATAAGTATAATTTTAGCTATTGTGTAGATTACTGTAGTAATAATATCCACTGTCCTACTTCCTCTACCTTCTTTAACGAATTTAATGAATTTTATGCCATTGGGAAAAAGATATCTAAACCGTAACCATTAAATTCTAATTTCTTTGTTGTGATTATTATTTAGTAAAGCTACTAAGAAAAACACAGAGACAAAATAACCGTAAGTACTGTTAATGCCAATCTGTACATATGAACAGGATTAAAGAAAATATGTGAAAATTTGTTCCATGCACAGTTTATGACAATAGGGCAGTATTTTTTCTCGGAGCTATGTAAATACTTCTACAAACGCAGTGCCGGAAAGTCCGGAATAAAATTACGAGAATTTGGAGTTGGATTTTATTAGTGTCTAACGGCCTGCCCTGGCTTCGCTAGTATAGAGCATGTATTCATGTGTCGTTATTTAGACTTAATATTATGAAAGACCATTTATTTTATCAATTTTTTATATATTTTTTTAAAAAGTCAAGTTTTTTGAATAAAGTATAGCCCAAATCACTCCTGACTGAATTGTTCTCTATCTGTTCGTGAAGTTTTATGACAATGGGTTCAGCCATTTCGAAGATTAGGCCGGACAGACGCACTGACAGACAGATAAAATTAGAAAAATAATTATTTATATGTCTTAATATTATGGCAAATAACCTCCTCAGCTAAATAGAAGTTAGTAATTGCAATATTACAGGCAGACACTTTATTAATATGCTTAATGATATAAAAATTGACTTAACTGATTTTTTAACAAATTTCCATTTATAGTAACTGGAATGTAATTTCTACGTATAATTGATGGCAGCACTGACGGCAAATTAATTAAGCATCTATAACAATCTAAATAAAAGTAATTTTACGGATTTTATCGCGTATATTAACTTATTTTATATTCCCGACGTTTCGAGGTAATATCCGCGATAAAGTCCGTAAAATTAGTTTTATTTAAATGTGTAGTGTTCGCGTAAGTATAAGAAATCATTATCTATCACAATCTTCTTAAGTTGAGTAGTGGTCTGCTGTAGATGACTTTAAAAGTTTTGATATCGGTAAAAAAATATAATAACGCTTTTTCCAAATCTTCGCGCACTTATAGCGTTAACAAAACCAATAAAAGTACCTACTATACTTGTACTATTATCTATTCTGGGCTACTAGATGAAAAACCTTAGTACCAATTTAAAAAGTGGCAAATACTTGCCTAACCTTGAACAAAAAAAGGCGAAAACCTCTCATCGAATTAACGTCCCTTTATAAATAGCAACAAAATTGTTGATATTATCTTTCTGGGTGTTTATATTTTATTATTTATCTTGGAAGTATGCAAAAATGTAAAATATTGCGTTGAACACGGTGATTCATCGCTTTAATATATCGCCGTAGGCAGTCAGCGACTCTCTCGTTGGTATAGCGGTTGTAGTGGTTGACTACTGATCATGAGATCCAAAGTTGGGTCAGAAAGTCGGTTACTGGGTATTTCTGTCAAAAAATTCTGAAAAGCGGCGCCCATACATAGGAAAACACTATATTCTTGTCCTGCGCATATGTCTAGTGTGGTGTAGTGCTGTGACTGTAATGCGGTGAAGTGCCGGATCGGTATCACTTTTTTTTGAATGGATACAGTTTGGATTGTTTATTTTATGCTTGCTCGTTTTTGACAACTCTAAAAGAGAAATGGTTTTTTTTTATAGAATAAGGGTGACCAACGAGCACACAGTCCACCTGATGGTAAGTAGATGCTGTGGCCCACAGACATCTACATCTGTCCTCGATTAAAAATCATCCTAGTTGTCGTCCCTGAGGACTAAGATGGAATGCCTCATTTCCAGTAAATGAAAGGTCTCCGGTTCTCTACACTCACACCATACGAATCACAGCAGCTTTAAGCTGCTATTTCAAGCTGGTATTCTGTGAGAGCGTGGTCCTATCACGGACGAACCGACACATTCGTGCTACAACTATAATATAGCTGCAGCTTGGCTCTACCACGTATAAACAATAATACACGTGAGTGCAGTACAAGAGTGCGGTATTTTTAACATCATATTTGTAACACTTCATAGTTTTATGGATGTTTATTCCGTCAAGTTATGCTGTCGTTAAAGTTTGAGGAAAAAGTTTGAGTAAATACATATGCTAATGGTCAATACCTACATAATATGTTTAACCATTATCAAAACCCCACTGCTGAACGTAGGCATCCGCCGTATATTTCCTCGTAGGTAGTATATTTGCTATAGTTGTCACACTTGGTAGGCGGGAAGATATCATCAGGAAGATGCTGCTGCCCATCTCCTATTACAGTGTTTCTCTGTTGCTTCTTACGACATCCACGGGATGGTATGGGGTAGTAGATACTCTTTTAACGTCAACATCATTTTTAAGATAATCTATAAAATATTGTCTTAAACACAAGCCTTGTTACTTTGGGCATGCAGGACAATACTGTGTCGTATCTACTCTTCTCTTTAAATTTTGAAAACATATCACACATAGTTTGCATTTCAATCTATTTTTTTAAATACATAATTTAAAATTTAAAATTTTGTACAGCCGACTTCAATCTAAGTTATTTATGAATAACTCAAAAACGATTGGTCTGACCTTGATCAAATTCATATGGGACCATACGAGAACGATCAGCTTTCATATAAAAAAAGAATCATCAAAATCGGTTCACCCAGTACAAAGTTATGAGGCAACACACATAAAAAAAAACATACAGACGAATTGAGTACTGTCTCTTTGGAAGTCGGCAGACAAAATAAAATACAAATTGTTAAAAAGACGGCCTATTATCAAAAACTGATACAGCGACCTCTTCCTCTAATTTTATTTTTATTTATAGAACAAACAAACTAGCATGCGGCTCACCTGATGGTAAATGACTACCGCCGCCCATGAACTACTACAACACCAGGGGAATTGCAGATGCGTTGCAGGCCCTTTAGAAAGGAGTAAGCTCTTTTCTTGAGGGTCCCTAAGTCGTATCGGTGCGGAAAAATCGCCGATGGTACACTATTCTACAGAGAGATCGTACGAGGAAGAAAACTCCTAGTAAACGTACAGTTGTGGACCGCAGAGCATCCAGATGGTGTGGATGGTATCTGAAGATGAGTTACCATCCACACCATCTTTGAGTTTGTATTTTGAAATAACAATTCACGAGGGACAATTATCTGGCTAGGCTATCTCGATAGAATGCGATTTTTTGGTGCAGTGCCAAAAAGATTTTGCAGGTTTGTCGTATAGATTAAATAGGTTTTTTTATAGGATAAGGGTGACAAACGAGCACACAGTCCACCTGATGGTAAGTGGTTGCTGCGGCCCATACACATCTACATCTATCCTCTATTACAAATCAAAATTCAGATGCATTGTCACCCTTGAGGACTAAGAAGGAATGCCTCATTTCCAGTAAAAAGGGTCTCACACACATCATACGAAACACAGCAGCGTTAAGCTGCTATTTTACGCTTGTATTATGTGAGAGCGTGGTTCTTCCCCGGTCGAGCCGACCCATTCGTGCTACAACTATACTACTAATATAGCTGCAGCATGGTTCTACCACGTGTAACATTTGGTACATCCAAAAAAGGAAAATTAAAAAATATTACAAAAAGTTGGTTCGTGAGCATTTATTGAAGAACATCAGATATTAGATATAACAAGCGTATTTAATACATGTGCAATTATTTTAGACTTAAAAAAAAACCGCGGATCTATAATAGTGGTCCTAGCTTTTTGCAATTATTTCAAAAAAATGCACAAATGGGAAAATGTTTATGATAATAAATTGAAGGTCTATTCATTTTACGTAGAAAGGTGACTTTTGCTTGACGTTAACTTTAACATCGGAAGCGGGTAGGTTTGGATGATTGAGAGTCTGTGTTTGCAGACTTGTGATAAACTTGAAAATAGCTGTTATGTGCTGTGCGCATAACAGCAGAACTCGCATAATGTTTAGAAGATATACAATAAATATAATCTTAGTATTGATGTCAATCTTTTCAGGCCGACCAAATGTAACTTACATATTTACGACTCCGGACTCCAGCTGCAGCATGCATAATGAATGACCCACTCTCCGTTCAATGTACCAATTAATACGGAATATTGTATTTCTATTTTGTCTGGAAATTGAACGGTAAAGGAGATGAACTTGGTTCCATACAAGCTTGGGCTCGGCGTGAACAAAGTTCAAATATATCTTATTTTGAATATTTACATTGGCTACTTATGACAAAAAATCATATTTTTTTAGGGCCTGGAGTTTTGTTTTTATTTTGTTTTATTATTTGTGGGTTATGTAGTAAAATCACTCGTTCTTGGGACAAGTTACAAGTACGGCTTGTTGTAGAACCGACTAACGTTTACCGAAAAATGTCCGGATGCTTGGGTTCAATCAAATAGACTAACAACGATAATCGGTTCCAAGAGGAAAACGTTATCCGCATCAATCATCAACCTATAAAAGTTTTTCTTGAAACACACACCAATGTGAATACCAAATTACTATACGATACATAATATTTTGATAGAATTTGAAAATAATATTCTAAGAATAATCATCACAACATTTTGCGAGTAAATCTAGTGGGTAAGGTATGTCAAAATTTCGTTCACGGGCGCGCCGGC